TTACTGACAAGCCTAATGCAATTTTCTGTTGCATTCAATAGTGCAGCTTTTAAATAATCCATTTCTCTTGGACTCCATTTGAATTGCTCCAGTCTGATAATGACTCTTCTACACATATTCTAATTTTAGAAAAGTCTGTTTTTCTAAAGTCTAAAACTTTTGTTTTTGTGTGGTGTGACTCAGTCACTGTTCTTATATTAAACCACACTGACTGATGATCATTGGATCCTAAACTTTCACCTACAATAATATCTGATACCAAATCTCCATTTGTTAACACTAAATTTAGTATGGCCTCTTTACGAGTTGGCTCTTCAACAACTTGTTTTATAGACAATCCCAGTAGTGAGTTTAGAATATGTGTGCTCTTGGCACAAGTAGCTAATTTTGTTTTCCAATTTACATCAGGAAGATTAAAGTCACCCATGATGATAACTTCCCCCTTCATTGTCATTTTAGCTATTTCCTCAACTAGTAGATTATCTAACTCTTCAATTTGTCCTGGGGGCCTATAAATCACACCTACACGAGATACTGTGTGATTACCAAATTCTAACGTAACCCAAACGGACTCTGTGTTTGCCTCACTAACTTTTATTAGGCTAGATTTTATGCTATCCTTCACATACAGGGCCACCCCTCCCCCTTTCTTGCCTTCCCTGTCTTTTCTATATAAAGAGTACCCTGGTATTGTTATGTCCCAGTCATTTTTCTCATTATACCATGTCTCAGTAATAGCGACTAAATCTACACTCTCAGTTGCCATTATTGCCACAAGTTCATGGATCTTTTTCCCTAAACTGCGAGCATTTGTAGACATGACTCTAAGCTTATCATTGTTTAACACACTTGCTACAGGCACCTTCTGTCCTTGTTTTGGGGGACAATTGGATTGATGTTTTATCACCCTTTTGCCCCCCCCTCCTAGTTTAAATACATCCTAGCAAAACCTCTGAGCTGCTCACTGAGAACATTTGTTCCCTTTTGAGAAAGATGCAAACCATCTTTTTTGTACAGCTTATTTCCATTCCAAACAGAGCTACCATGAGAAATAAAGCCAAATCCTTGCTCCTGACACCATTCACCAAGACACAAATTAAAGTCCCTAATACGCATCCGCCTGTCGTTCTGAGTGTTATGCACAGGCAGAACTTCAGAGAATGACAGTGTGAAAACAACCTGCCGTATATCATTGGCAAAAACACTAAAAACTTCCTTAACCTCTGAAACCTCATTGCAAGCCAAGTCACTTGTCTCTAGATGGACAAGTACATCCAATTCCCCTTCCTGCTTTGCTTGCTTAACAATATTACAGACACGTCTCCTGTCTCTGTGAGCAGTAGCTCCGGGAAGACACCTCACAAGACCACCCTTGTCCATCTCCACACCTCTTATGGTGGAATCCCCCAACAACAACTGCTTTCTATTAGGCCTCACCATAGTCTCCAAGCCGGTCTCCACAACACCACTAGCCTCAGTGCCTCTCTCCACACAACCACTAGCCTCAGTGTCTCTCTCCACAACACCACTAGCCTCAGTGCCTCTCTCCACAACACCACTAGCCTCATGCAACTGTCATCCCAAAAAAACTAAACCCTCATTGAAAACAATTCCTGTGAATCCAATTCATCTGGTAAAATTACTTGTCTGTTGTCCAGCCATTGAACTGCGCTGCTGATGTTGTTGACTCTTTATAAATAATAATAATAATAATATTGGATACAGGAAAGGCAGGTTTGCGCACACAATGGATAAAGATTGTTAAACCTGTAATATACAGAAAGCCTTCATAGGGCAATATGTAATCAAAGTATATGCAATAAACATATAATTGGAACACTCACAATCTTTTGAGCCTTATAAGTCGTCTCTGAACTATAGTAGCGTATTTGCAAATCCAATAGGATGGTTTTGGTAAAGATGATGGTCCCAGCATAAGTATTTTCTTTTTAGATGAAAAATTCAGGAACCAAAATAAATATAGAAATACCTCTTTATTATAAATAAAAACAAAAATAGCACATCGCGTTTCGACCACTTTCCTGGTCTTCCTCGGGTGCAATAAACTTACATATGAATAAAAGATTTAAATACCCTATACATAAGTAGCTAAACATCAAACATCTGTGTCAAATTAAAATACAACCCACCCACAAGCAGTCCATATATGGAACTTCCGTTTGTCTTCCCCTTCCATCATGGGGAATAAATGTTCCTTTCTTTATAAGTAAAATATACCATCTGACCTTCTAAAGATGGCTACACAGTTTGGACGTTTTCTTCCCATAAGGTGACTTTTGGTATTAAGACGAAACGTCACTTCCGGGTTTTCGGCACATTGCGTCACTTCTGGTTTTCGTCATATCGCATCACTTCCTGTACTTGCGTGGATGGGTGTTCCAAATGTCAATCATATTGCCCTTACTTTGTTAGAAGGGCGTGTTTTGGTTATTGCTAAACAGTCCTTTAAAACTCATATTAGCCATTTTGATTAAGGGAAAGAAAGAAAAAGCAGCAAAAGAGGTTAGGAAGGTAAATCAAGAATCAATATACTTTCAAAAATCAAATCAAATATATATACAATATATTAAAATATATTAAAAGCCTACTTAACAGGGCTCCCCCTCCTGAGGCTGGACCAGACCCAACACTCCGCACTACTGGAACCAATTACAGTAGACGAAGTCCTGGATACCATCAAACAGCTGCCCGCTGGAAAATCTCCGGGGGCTGATGGTTTGTCCAATCTGTACTACAAAACATTTGCAGATATACTTGGCCCGTGGCTGGTGCGGACGTTCCAGACGGCGACGGACACGGGCCAACTCCCCTCCGAGATGCTCCTAGCCACAATAGTAACCTTGCCCAAACCCGGGAAACCCCCAGATCAATGCAAAAATTTTAGACCCATCTCACTGCTAAACTCGGATGCCAAGATTTATGCTAAGATACTAGCCACCAGAATGAGTAAAATTCTTCCAACACTGATACACGATGATCAAACTGGGTTCGTGCTGGGGAGGCAGGGGACGGACAACACCAGAAAGTTATCCCTGGTGTTGGAAAGGATGCGGGGGGCCGGTCCAGGGAGTCTACTACTGGCCTTAGATGCTGAGAAAGCCTTTGACCGCCTGGGCTGGCCCTTCCTCCGCCGGGTGCTTGAAAGGTTCGGATTCCCACACCAATTCATCACCCAGATATTTGCCTTGTACTCACACCCCTCAGCCCAAGTCCTGCAAGCGGGGTTTTTGTCCACGCCGTTCAAAATTACGAATGGCACGAGACAGGGGTGCCCCTTGTCACCCCTACTATACGTACTAGCCTTAGAGCCATTACTTGCAGCGATCAGAACTCACCAAGCAATAGATGGGGTAGATTGGCATGGGCGAACGATAAAAATTAGCGCATTCGCGGACGACATCTTGTTGTACATTACAAATCCTGTCAAAACCTAATATAATGAAACTCATCAAGGAGTACGGGGCGCTGTCCTATTACTCTCTAAATGCCACAAAAACACAAGCATTAGGTTTCCGCCTGGACTCACAAGTCCTGACAAAACTGCAGAGAGAATACCCATTCGAATGGAGAACTGGAAACATAAAATACCTGGGCCTAACATTCACTAAAAACCCAAATGATATGTTTCCTTCCAACTATAACGGGGTCTGGAAAGACTGCTCCGGCATCCTGAAGGGCTGGGGACACATTTTCTTATCCTGGGCGGAGCGCATAATAGCACTTAAAATGTCCATATTGCCAAAACTCCAATACGTATTCAGGAACCTCCCATGGAAAGCACCAAACTCATATTTCAAAAATATACAGGCAAAAATGTTACAATTCACTTGGGGCACAGGACGGGCAAGAATCTCTCAAAAAGTATTAATGGCCCCCACGTGCAAAGGCGGGATGGCGTTCCCACATGTCAAAACATATCACCAAGCTGCGATCCTGACATCGCTGCTTGCACATCTTACCATAAAGGGCCAACCCCAATGGGTACGGATGGAAAACCAAGCCATAGCCCTCCTCCGAGTCTCTAACCTAATGTGGCTACGGAAAACCATTAGACCAACTACAACGACCATGCCCTCACAACTTAGCTTAGCACTAAATATCTGGGACCAATACAGATCGCACTTTGAATCGCAGTGTCCACTGTCTCTAGCAACCCCTACTGAGGCACTTACGTATTGTATCCCCACATTCCATGCAACGCCATGGAAAGAAAGGGGAGCCACCCACCTGGCACACCTATACAAAGAGGGCAAACTGCTGCCCTTTCTGGACCTGCGCCGCCTATACAACATACCACCCACATCTCACTACTCACACATCCAATTACAATCCTTCTTACACAAACACAACAGAGAACAGGCACAAAAACGCGACGGAGGTGAAGAACTCACGACCTGGGAAAAAATAGGGATTACAGGGATACCCTCACCCAAATTTAAACCACTATCTGAATGCTACAAAAGTATCCACTCATACCAGCCGTTCCATAGCTCTACCCAGGCACAGCACTGGTCCACGGACCTGAATGTTAACATAACAGAACACAAATGGAAACACATAGCAACATCAGTGAGAAAATTGGTGAAATCAGCCCCTCTTCTTGAACAACACCAAAAAACAATCTATAGGTGGTATATGGTGCCCACTCGCCTACACAGGCTGTACCCCCACTCGCCCCCGACCTGCTGGAGATGTGCTGGAGACCTGGGCTCAGTACTACATATTTGGTGGAGATGCCCTAAACTAGAGAGGTACTGGAAGGAAGTACGACAACTTATTACCCAAACTACTAAAACGGACATTGCCCTAGAGCCCTCGACATTTCTCTTACTGGACATTCCCCCTGACTTGCCTGCCACGATAAAGAAATTAATCTATCATATATTACTGACAGCACAGAGAGTAATAGCGAGGTCCTGGAAATCTACCAGACCCCCGAGCGTCTCCCACATTATACAAGATGTAGATAAACAACTAATCTATGAAACGCAATACTCTGCTGCACACACAAGACCGCAGCGTTGGGGGGGAGCATGGGAGTTGTGGAGCTCCTGGACACAAAAGACTACAGGCCACTTGGTACAACAACACCACTAAGACATCATAGTAACCTCCACACAGGGAGCTAGTAGACATGGGGACAGTACACACATAGCCCAATTGGTAGATATATAAGGAACAGCCACAAGGCGGGATAACGAGGCAGGAAAGGGCACTTGGCAGAGCCAGGACAAGGCATGAGGGGGCAACAGGATGACTGCAGGAAGCGCTAAAAGATTGGTTGACAAAATGCTAGGAGCGGCCAAAGTCAATAGATGTGTGTATGTATTATAATCCTCAGCCCACTGGGGACTGGCATCATGTATGACCTTGAACTACTAATATTTGCCTGACAAATCGATTTGTACAACTCTTGCTGGGAATGGAATATGAATCTATAATGTAACTGTGTGTCGCCCCCCCCCCCAACCCCTTCTTTTCTGTACCCTATCCCCCCCCCTAACATTATGACATGTTAAAACTCAATAAACTTCAAATTTCTAAAAAAAAATATATTAAAAGAACATATATCACCCTTGTTTGTTTATAATAAATAATATACCTCCTTATTTAAGAAATATATATTTATAGTAATCTATATAAATTTTTATATATAAAAAAATATAGAATCTATTAATATTTTCATGAAGGATGATTTCTAAAGAATATAATATTTTGTCTATTTGTTTTAGGAAGATAATTTGATTTGTTCTTTTCTTTGCTAGCCTTCAAACCTTCAGTTAATTACTAGGCCCACCTAAGTTGACTTGCCAGGTTTTATTTCAGTAACAATTAGTCAGGATTAACTTTGATTGGTTGTTATATAATGAACCAAATCCCTTAATCTCCTTTTCTAATGATACCTCCTCCCTATGTCCTGTCTCTGTTGGAGTCCCCACAGGCTCTGTACTTTGTCCCCTTCTATTTTCTCTTTATACTGCCTCTCTTAGTAAACTTATTACCTTGTTTGGATCCCAATACCACCTGTACGCTGATGACACTCAGATATACCTCTCCTCCCCGGCCCTCTCCCCTGCCGTTCCGCAACGTGTCACTGCTTGCCTTTCCTTCATCTCTGATTGGATGTCCTCCTGCTTTTTGAAACTCAATCTCTCTAAAACTGAGCTCCTTGTTGTTCCTCCTCCTAAAACTGATCCTCCTCTTTCGCTCTCCCTTCAAGTCAGTGGTACCCACATCAGTCCATCCTTGCAAGTGCGCTGTCTTGGCGTTATACTTGATTCTGGCCTCACATTTGAGCCTCACATCCAGTTTCTGTTACCAAATCCTGTAGATTCCACCTGAAAAACATCCGCCCCTTTCTTACACAAGATGCTATTAAGGAGCATGTCTATGCTCTAGTAATCTCTCGCATTGATTATTGTCACTCTCTCATAATAGGTCTTCCTACAAGTCGTATTGCCCCTCCACAGTCTGTAATGAATGCTGCAGCTATATTGATTTTCCTCTCCTGTTGCTCCTCTCCTCTCTTCCAGTCTTTGGCTTCCTGTATCCGATAGGAGTCAATTCAAGGTACTAATCCACACTGACCAATTCTAGCCCTTCCTATATTTCTCCACTGATCTGCAGTTATGCCCCTTGTCGGTCTCTCTGCTCTGCCCATGACCATCTCCTATCTGCTGCTCTCACCCATACAGTCAACTCACGCTTGCAAGACTTCTCGCGGGTGGCTCCTTTCCTTTGGAATAGCCTGCGTATGACCATCAAGCTCTCCCCTAGTCTTCAATCATTTATAAAGTGCCTCAAAACCCATCTCTTTAGGAAAGCTTATGGCCTCCCAGAGTAACCTCTACCTCACATACCTGTCCATTGCTCTCTCCTAAAGGGCAACACTCTATTCTCTCCTCCAGCTCTGCTTCACTCCACCTTGTTTGATTGCTACCTCCTGTCCTGTTGGCTTTTATGCCACACCTCCTATAGACTGCAAGCTCATTTGAGCAGGTCCCTCTTCAACCTATTGTTTATGTGAGATTTTGTAATTGTCTTATTTATTGTTAAATCTCCCCCTTTGATAATATTGTAAAGCGCTATGGAATATGCCGGCGCTATATAAATACCAGTAATAATAATACCCTTTTCAAATTCTCAGTACTTACTACAAAATGACCAGTTACACACAGTACATGTGTTACTCACTATACATGCACTATACACTTAAAATCTCCATAAGTTAAATTCTGTTTTGCCAGATACCTGGTTTCTTCGATTAATATAAAGTTTTGATAGCTTTGGTTCAAGTGTTATTAGAAATATATGGTGCCATAATAAATGGCATTTTAGCTAAGAATTGTGAGAGAGCAAAACTGGATTCACTGTTATCTGTTTATGTACCTGACATACTATAACTAAATTTAAAACTCAACAATTGCCTTGCAGAGAATATTGTTAAGCTCACAGCTAGTAATAAATAGCTCTCACGAATAATACATCACACAGATTTTGATTAAAAAGAGACTTGTTGCCTATTTAAAGATTTTTTTAGATAGTGTTATTGAAGTCAATAGTTGGGAAATGAATCACTGAATAAATTTAATTAAGTTTATTTATCTAAGCCTGGAAAAGTAACACTGAGATTAATCCATAGTCATATTTTGTGTGAATGGTCTATTCAATTTAGATTTTCTTTTTTCTTTATTGCTATCGATTATTTTAATGCAGACATGGTTGATCTCAAGCAAGCATCACAAAGCTTTAAAAACAATTAATCTGATGTTCCTTTTATAATTAGAGGGTGTATGTCTCTGAATCAAGAAGTCAGATATTTATATCACATCTCTTATTGGTCAGAGGTTTTTGTTCTGTATTGCTTGCAGTTGAAAGGAGCACTTCAAATCTCTGAGGTTCTTCATCTTGCTGAAGTGCTTAAGCGGTCCAGAGTTTTAAAAACACAAATTAAAACAGAAAGCTGCACGTTTATGAAAGTGCAAAGCTGTCAATCACAAGTGATATTCCTGATTGTTTTGCTAAGATACAAAGTGGAAGTAAATGCTCCTTACAGAGAAGCATAGGATTTAATACTTGCACATGAGAAGCACTACTGACACAATGAGACAATTCTCAACTAATAGCATTCTATTGGCCTAAAAACGATCAGTCTACAGTGGGCAGAATGGAACTTTGGCAAGTGACCATCTGACTGCTTGATTTGAGGGAAGTTATGGCTTTTTTTTTAGCAGATAGGTAGAGTAAAGTAGGCCAAGGAGATACAGCAACACTCCGGCATTATGGGTAAATACATTTATTCATAATCCTGGAGTATTACTTCAACTCTTGGACTACTAAAATGGTCATGACTATGGCAGTCACAGGGCTAGGCATCTAGGCACATCTTTTAATACTGGTGTTTAGTGATGTCCCGAACGGTTCGCCGAACGGTTCGCCAAACGGTTCGCTGAATGGTTCGCCGAACGGTTCGCGAACGGTTCGCCACGGACTCATCATTGAGTAAACTTTGACCCTGTACCTCACAGTCAGCAGACACATTCCAGCCAATCAGCAGCAGACCCTCCCACCTCCTGGACAGCATCCACTAAGAATGCAGCTTGAAGCTGCATTCTTAGTGAGCTGTCCAGGAGGTGAGAGGGTCTGGGAGGGAGGGTCTGCTGCTGATTGGCTGGAATGTGTCTGCTGACTGTGAGGTACAGGGTCAAAGTTTACTCAATGATGAGTCCGTTCGGCGAACCGTTCGGGACATCACTACTGGTGTTTCTAACTAAAACAAATGTACTTCTCTCTACAGGTCAATGATATGGAACCTGTACTACGTTTGAAAAGTTGCATATTGGGGTCATAGCCTGATTTTCCTGCCTGCAATTTCCCAGTAAAAGCAACTATATTATACGTGAATTAAAGAAGAAAGAAGAAATTAAAGAATTAAAGAATTAAAGAAGAAATGTATTTTAATACACATGGGCTTTATAGCAAAAAAGTACATTTCGGCCGTCTCTTGGCAGGTTTGCTGTTGTGCCATGTTCTTTCCATTTGGTTATGATAGATTTGATGGTGCTCCTGGGGATGATCAAAGATTTGGATATTTTTTTATGACCTAACCCTGACTTGTACTCCTCAACAACATTGTCCCTTACTTGTTTGGAGAGTTCTTTGGGCTTCATGACAGTGTTTAGTTAGTAGTTCCTCTTGCTTAGGTGTTGCAGCCTCTTGGGCCTTTCAAAAAAGGTGTGTATATGTAATGACAGATGTGACACTTTGATTGCACACAGGTGGACATCATTTCACTAAGTATGTGACTTCTGAAGGTAATTGGTCGCATCAGAGCTTTCTATGGGCTTCATAACAAAGGGGGTGAATACATACGCACATGGAAATTTTCTGTTTTCTAGTTCTAAAAAAATAGTTTTATGTATATATTTTTCTCATTTCACTTCACCAACTTAAACTATTGTGTTCTGATCCATCACATAAAATTCAGATTAATAAAACATTGAACTTAGGGCCGTAATGTAACAAAATAGGTAAAAAGTCAAGAGGGGTGAATACTTTTGCAAGGCACTGTATGTTCTGACTGTGCCCCCAAACAATGCCACTTCAATACTGGAGACAAAAACGTGCATGTTCATTGTTGCAGCGTGGGAATGCGAGCCCTAGCGTCTATACTCAGGTCATGACCTGCAATATAATTTCTACAACTGCTAATATAAAGTCCCATGAATCCCAGCCAAGCATGCCCAGAAGATTCAGAACTTTCCCTATTGATCCTTTAAGATGTGCCCAAGCTTGATTACCTTATTGTTTCCAGAATGTTTGATCTTTGGCTTTCTTGATTGACCTCACTACTTGCTGCTTGTTCTGACTTCTGGAACTGTTTATTGTCTTTGCTGTCAGTTCTTATCTACAGAATGCTTATCTACTCTTTTGACTCACCCCTTTTTTTTTTCTTTCCTTGGAATATCTCTTCACTACCTAATTCTGTATTACTTTACATATATGTACTTGGATTTATGGTTGCTTGTGGGGCTACAGGCCTCCCTGTCCTTATTTCGGTAGGACTGTCTCACCATCCCAAATTAGTTCCATGGTGT